TAACGCAATCGCCACGTTATTCTTTTTAGTTTCGGTTGACTCTTCTTCAGTTAACTCCCAAACTTCATGAATCTTCAACAGAATCTTCATTCTGATCGACCACACAGTGTAATTCGTGGAAGTCAGCTTTGGACAGCTTATCGAGGACGAGGGTTCCTTCGGTTTGTTCACGATGGTTGAAAGATCCCCCATGATTGACGATCTGTAACAGAGATCTGATACCAAATGTTGGGGTTTGTGAAAGCCCATGTCCAACTCTATATTCTCATATTAGTACGATATTGTCCACTTTGGGCCTAATAGACAAGCCCGCATGGATTTACTTTTGGTTTCCTTTCCAAAAGGCCTCGTACTATTATAGTTGGACTTCTCTTTATATATTAGACACTCCTTGTCTAATTCTCCCACAACATCACAGGTTCCATGATCTTCTGACTTGTTTTTTGCCACAGACCTCCTCTTCCTACTCGAAGGGTCCCTTTCCATCTTGAAGGGTATTTTGGTCTTCTTGCATAACATCGTCGAACCGCTCTGATACCAAATATTGTTTCAATCTCACGTTAAGACTCAAAGATTAAGAAAACACACTTCTCATTAGCTTAAGAAAAACTCTCTCAAAACTCAAGCTCTCACAGTCTCAATCTCTAAATCTCACAAGATACACAAACACACTTGCATATCTTTATATAGAGAAATGATAACTAAGAATCTTACGTAGTATCTCTCATTCGGATAACTACANTCACAGTCTCAATCTCTAAATCTCACAAGATACACAAACACACTTGCATATCTTTATATAGAGAAATGATAACTAAGAATCTTACGTAGTATCTCTCATTCGGATAACTACAAAACCACAATATAAGATTCTACTCAACTAACTGAATATTCTTTAGTATAGCTTGGGAACCAAGCCATCTTCGAGATTATCCACAACACTTTTCTCATTCTTACAAATCCTAATTTTGCCTCCACTAATCGTATACCCTTTTCTCTCCCTCTTCTCTGTTTCTGTTTCCCTCATCTCATCAATAGTATCTTCATTTTCCTCAGATTGCTAAACCTCTCAAACAAACACTTCCAAAATCAGTGATTATAGCTAGGTTACATGACAGTTCTGACCAGTGTTAACTTTGATATGTTTATTTGTATGTAATACTCCCAAAAAATGAAAGGATGTGTTGTCGTAGGAGGTTGAGTTTTGTGGTGAGACACTAAATTAAAGGTACGTGATTTTCTGCTACATTTTGTTCATGATAGTCTTTTGATCTCTTAGCACTATCTGTGATTCCTGGACCCAACAAAAAAACCTGAAGCATTAGTTGACATAGATTAGAAAAACTGAGAGCCTTTAACAAAATGCAGTAATATAACCTTCCATTTAAGTAACGTCCTGTTGCTTTCAGGAAGATTCTTACAAGGGTTTTTATTCTTATGGCAGATACTGGAGTCCAGTAGATGTATACGTCAGTGGTGCTGAGAATGATGTTTTACACTTGCTAGGTTTTGGCACAAGGTATGTGTCCTTTTAAAAAAAAAACTCTCTTTCTTTTAGCTTTCTCTTGATTAAAACTGGAAATCATGCTACTGCATCATCGCATGTACTTTTATACAGTGGTGACTAAAGAACCCTTCAAGTGTGTTATAGATCAAGTAATCATCCTCGGGGAGGTCATTATACAGCCTGGAAGGGAAAAAAAACGAAACTATGAACCTGCAGATACTGAAGATGCGTTTAAATGAATCTCTGGATATGAAGATGAAGTATGATTCTTCTTCTTTCGCATTCACTAACTAAAATTGATTTTGACTCTCTGGAGTTGTAGCAAGTCAGACTTTATTCGATGATAATGCTCTTCATTGTAGTGTATAGGACATAACATGTTCTATATGTCTTTCTCATTAGCAGAGTTGAACGCCTACGTTCTCTGATCTAACACCTACTCAAGCTTCCTAATACTCAGGAGTCAGGACATTAAACCCATATAACTCACTTAAACACAAAATATTAAGCTCACATGCATTGCCAAAGTTCATATGCAAGTTCTGTTGGAGTTGTGAGGTTGTCTCCTAAAAATTATCTTAAACCTCCAAGCTTTACATATATCTTTTGGTTATTTTTACTCACTAATTTGTTAACATTCAAAATTTGATGTTTTTAAAGGTACCGTGTTGTGAAACTAATAGGAAAATCCTGGAAAATATCCATTGTGTTATGATATATATATATATATATATTATAATTTACTTAATCTCTTCAGAAATAGGAAACTCCTGGAAAATATCCATTGTGCAGAATTTGTAGGCACAAATGGATGCTTGTTATTAATCTGAGCTTATATATATACTATTAAAAGTAAAGACACCTTTGAAAAATCGACTGATGGAAGTTGTCTGCACCTTCATTAATGGCATTTTGGTAATTTATTTTTGGGTTTACATATATATATATATATCGATTTGTTACAAATCATATCGACTATCACATATACCAGAATTATTCTCTTTCTTCCCATTAATTACTCTAACCATATTTCATTATATGTTTCATACATTTATATTGTGTTATACCTTATATTACACGATTTAAATTTATAGATTTTCAACATTATAATTTTTTGGTTGATATTTTTTGGTATATGCACCATATATCAATGATATGATGCTATATTTCATATATTAATATTTTCATATAGTTGTACTACACCTTATATTTCAAAGACTATACTCTATAAACTCATATTATTCTAACCATGATATGATGTTATATTTCATATATTAAGATTTTCATATAGTTGTACTACGCCTTATATTTCAAAGACTATATGATATAAACTCATACTACAATGGCCTACATTTTGTAACCAGTGTAGTTGATTGTAGACCTTATATTACACGATTTAAATATATAGATTTTCAACATTATAATTTTTTGGTTGACATTTTTTGGTAAATGCATCATATATCGATGATATGATGCTATATTTCATTTATTAATATTTTCATATAGTTGTATTACACCTTATATTTCAAAGACTATACTTTATAAACTCATATGATTCTAACCATGATATGATGCTATATTTCATATATTAAGATTTAAAACACAGTTGTACTATATCTTATATTTCAAAGACTATATGATATAAACTCATCCAACACTTTATATTACATATATTAAGATTTTGTTATATTTGTAGACATTTGTTAATGTTTATATAATATATTGTCTATATCGACATTTTCATGAGTTTTGCATACTATATCATTTTTTAATGTCACACTATTTCTATCATTCATTTATATAATATATTGTCTATATCGACATTTTCATGAGTTTTGCATACTAGATAAACCATTTTTAATGTTTCTCTGTTACAGGTACTTCTATCATGTATTATATAATATATTGTCTATAAAGAATCTATTCAAATATCCTTCATTTCATATTTTATAAAGACATTTGAGAATGGAGAATCCATCCAAATGTCTTTCATTTCATTCTCATAGTGAAATTTAATTGACGAGATACATATTATTAAGAAAATATTCCAAAAAGTATTTTCTATAATTATCTTCCTACTAAAATAAATAAATTGCTTCATCTACAAGTTTATAGATTAACCACAATCGATATCGTGGTTATTTAGTTGGATTCCATAAATTTCGGTAACTTACCGTAGTTGGATTACCATTAACTGTTAAACTTTAAACTTCATATCTAATTCAAAATATCTTCAAGAAATATTCCTTATTCTTCAAAAGAGATATTTTTAAAAATCGTCTAAATATTATGCCCTACATTTGCGTAACATAAATGTATATCGTCCCTACCTATTATAAATTAAGCCTCTCTTAACCACTATATTCATCATTCCTTGAAAAATCTAAAAAAAAAATGGCGAATAATTTACAGTTGTCTTTCTTGAGCGATATAAAACCGATGAAGACTGCATGTCTTCATACATGGAGACATTTCATGAAAGACATATGGGTTCCCATGGAACTAATTCTTTGTGATGCAAATGTAAGTTTATATTTTTATATAGATTTATGATTTATATATCTTCATTTCGTAAGTTTTATATATTTAATATAAAAGATATAGGCCTATAAACATATTGATTTATAACTTGATATGCAATTTTATTAGTGGTCAGAGAGTAGTTTGCTGTCTTGGGGTAAATCTGCTGAGAATCTTCATACAGCTAGCCAAGAAACAGAAGGCATGGTGATATATATGTCTTCTACAATTTGCTAAGATTCGGCAATATGGAGGTATTCCTTGAAAATGAAAACTTATGTTTCGATTTTGTACTAAATGACCATTGTTTATATAGTTGAAAATATGTTTTTACTAACTTAATGTTTTGATCATTCCTTCAATTTTTTGTTTTATGTCAAAATAAATTACTCAAATGCTTATGATTTATTTTTTGTTATAGGTGAAGTCCAAATCTCAAATGCTTATGATGTAAGTAGGACTGCGAATCTGAGTCATCACCCGCGGGTCGTACCCCATTTGACCCGCTGCGGAGCAGGTGCGGGTCAAACAATTTGAAAAATTGATTGGCGGGTGCGGGTTATGGGTATTTTATGCAGGGCGGGTGCGGGTTGGTAGATTTTGAATCGCAGGTTTAGGGTTTAGGATATGGACCCATCCAATTTTGGTTTCAATTTAATATGTTTTTTAATTCTTCATACTCTTACAACTTTAATTTTCTGATTCTCGGTTCAACCAAAAACTGACTGGGTTATGCAAAACTCAAGAAAAATACCCTACTAAAAAGTTAAAATATACATAAAATTTCACATATAAAACTATCATATAATAGAAATCGAATCATTTGATATATTTTGTTACAACCAAAAGAAAACCCGCGCTTCTCAAGTGCGGATCAAAATCTAATTTAAATTAAAAGTATATCTAATTAATTATTTGTTTCCTACATTGCAGTAACTTGGCATTATTTTAGGAAATATTTTTTAACATGAACTTAATTAAATTCTCAGTGACATTAGATAATGGTAAATCTTGTGCAAGTTTTATGGGTATTTTATAATCGTACTTCTGTTTTAGTAAAACAGATATTTGCACCCGGCACCTGAAACAAACCAATGAAGCTAAACCAGTTAACCGGAATTGCAACTGAGACCATACCCAAGAGGAAACAATGGGTCATACAAACTGTCATCAGCATTTAGTGGCAACTGGTCAACATGTTTGAACCAGCTCACTGGTAACTTCCCTTCAAAGTCAAAATCTCCAAAAATGACATCAGCAATTCCTTGCCCTTCAGTTCCAGGTAACCATGCAGCGACCAAAGCCTCAGTCTTTTCAAGAACCTTTGGCTCAAGAACCATAGGCCGTCCTGTGAACAAGATCACTAGAGTGGGTATTTTCTCCGCAACCGCAGCTACAATGTTGTTACCATTTAAAGGTATTGTGAGCTCAGAGTTATCTCCTCTCTTTTCTGCATACGGAGGTTCCCCCACTGCAACAATGGCGTAGGAGAAGCCTTCACCCGAGGCTAATGTTTCCTTTGCTGGAGTTCTCTCGTAGATAACTTCAGTTTTGCCTCCAACTATTGCTTTAATGGCATCCAAAAGCGTTGTGCCTGCATTTCAATATAAGTATTTGTAGAAAAACGTACCGTATGCAATTCTAATTTGCTTTACTTACCAATAGTGATTTTCCCGCTTTGACCATATATTTTCTTTGTCCATCCACCACACTGACTTCCAAGATCGTCTGCGTGCGTTCCAACCACTAGAACTCTCTCGGCCATACGATCTAGCGGCAAGAATGGCTTGTAAGATGTTTTACCATTCTTTAGCAGAACTAAAGATTTTCTAACTGCTTCGCGTGCCAGTTCTCTATGTTCCTGAAAATGTGGATACAAAGTTAGTCATGCTCTCATACATCTTAGATTGAATATGCCAGGACTCAGAGTTAGAGCTCACCTTGCAACCAACAGTAGGCAACAAAGATCTGTCTGTGAAAGGAAATTCGAAGAGACCAGCTACAAACTTCACCCTGAGTATTCTTTCAACAGCATCGTTGATTCGACCCATCGGTACTTCCTCTGACTCAACCAGATCTGTAAGCTCTTCTATGAACTGTTGGTATTTGAAAGGCACCATCACCTGCAAGAACTTTGATCAACAATCTTCTTTTTTCTTTCAAACATCGCGAGCCAGAAAATAAAAAAATCATTCAGTACCATGTCGACTCCAGCATTGATCCCTAGTTTGACACAGTTACGGTAGTCTGAACCTTTTGGCTCGCTAATGGTCTCCAAACCATCCCAGTCTGAAACTAAAAGTCCCTAGTAACAAAAATTAATGTAAATTAAACGAGCTCATTGCATACACCTCTAGCTTAGTTACATTTGTTTTTCATATTCAACCAACCTTGAAACCGAGTTTCTGTTTGAGAACTTCGGTTAAGAGGAAGTAGTCAGAGTGGAGTTTACTTCCATTCCAACTAGAGTAAGAGGCCATAACGGTACAGACTCCCTGCGAGATACAATTCAGATAAGGTGCAACATGTATTTTCTCCAAGTCTTCATACGACGAAATGGTGTTCCCTCGGCTTACACCCTTATCGGTACCACCATCTCCAACAAAATGTTTTGCACACGCCACAAGATTGTTTCTATCACCAAAGTGAATAATCCATTACAATGACAACAAGCATACTATATAGTGTAGTAGCATTATATAACTTACCTTCCTGCAAGAAAAGGGTAACCGTTAGGGTGGTCTTTGGGTGGCTCTCCTTGTAGGCCCGAAATAAGCGAGCTCATCTCACAAACAATTTTAGAAGCTTCACCATAACTCTCGTAGCATCGTCCCCACCTCGGATCTCCCAATACCTGTGAGTAAAGAACATTTCATTCAATATATATATATATCATTTATCTAATATTGTCTATAATTAAGGAACTCACGGCCACGCAAGGGGCAAACGTCCAGTGAATGCCACTAGCCCTCACTTCAAGGGCTGTCGCAGCTCCAATTCTTTTGACCAAATCTGCGTCTCTATATGAGTTACCAGACAAAACTACAACTGTTATTATTACTGTTAGCACGCGAGAATCATGATTGGAATTTATAAAACAAAACGTGATGGAAATGATAATATAAGGCCGTTAACAAAATAGATGAATACATAGAAATTGATATTTGATCTCTTTTCATAACTCAATATATCTTCCATAGGTGACACGATTCTGAGTTCCAAGATTAAACCACACTAGGTAATAATCCGCGACTTGCATAGAATGAAATTATGAATTTCATTATTTTTCAAGATAATAAGATATTATGTTTGTTTAATCTTATGTTACATGGAATCATCGATGGAGGTGCATTTCTTCCTTCCAAAACGGAATTGGAAGCGTTCGATATGGAATCACGTTTTAAAAATTTTGATGTTTGAAAGCGTGACGAAAACGCATGGTTCATAGTTGGAAACATGGTCGTTGATCGGAAGCTTGACGGTGGCTATATTATTAATGTGCAAAGAAGATAGAATATTATTCTTATGGATTTGCAAAGTTTAATTGATTTATGGTCTAATTTAATTTACTTTATTTTTTAAATCTTAATTCAAAAATAACAATAGAGTTAAACACTAAAAATCATAAATCTATTCTAACTCTGGGTTTTTGAATAATAATCTAATTGTAAAATAATTTTTTTCCACTTATTCTTTTTGTTTCATGTTGTTTGTATTTTTTCAGTTGATGTGTATGAAATAATTAACTCACGTACTTTATTTTATCAGTTTCAAAGCAATTATACATATGATTTACACATGTTATATTATATTTTTTCTTTGTAATTATACATACTTTCTTATTTGAGTTATAGTATATGAATTATGTACTGGATTTTACTATTTAAAATATTTTATTTGATTTATTAACTTTGATGTTCTACATATATATATATATATATATATATATATATATATATATATATATATATATATATATATATATGTGCTTCCAATATGTATCTATTTCCTAAATATTTCTAAAATTTTGTTCCGTGCTTCCTACCGCTTTCTCGTACCCGCTTCTGTTTCCATGTAAAATAGGTTTAATCTGGATATCGGTTCGGTTTTAGATTTTTTTTTTCTAGTAAAGTATAATTACTATTCTTAATCAAGATTTATTCTATTTATTCAGTTAAAATGCTTGAGGTTTTTAGATTTTTTTAATGATAACCAAAACTATTATATTTTTTTTTGGTTTCATGGTATATGAATTTCAAACAGTCATAATGTCAAACCAATGTTTCATATTATAATTTTCAAAGACATGAAAAATCAAATCAAATCTAGATTGTAATTGAAGAAAAAAAAATTATTAACACAAAGAATTTCATTACAATTGGGCCGATGGTTAACGGAAACAGTAAAAGAAATTATTTCAGTTTTTTAGAGAATTAGAATCTTCACTTGTAGTCAATATTTAGTTATATAGGTGCTCATGTCAATGTGCATAGATATGTAGTGTTCGGCAAAATATCTGTATATTTTGATTTGACTCGTAATCCTTTTCGATTGGAGCAAAAAATATGGACATCCGTAACTCTACGAAGAAAAATAAATACTAATATGCAATATCCGTAAAAAAAATGAAGCAAATCACAACTACCAATATTCTTTAAAACGGACATTTGATCTGATCTGTAATATGCACATATATATATATATATATTTAATGAAGTATATATGTAAGTTATATAAATAATATATTCTATATTAGTCTTACAATATTTATATTTACTAAATTTATTTAATTAGGTATTAGTATTCAAAAAGTAAATAGTTTTTTTTTTGTAACAAAATTTTAGTATTTTAAAATTTTTTTATTTATTTTTAATTTCTTTATTTATTTTTACGTATCAAAATCGGTTAAAATTTTCTGGAATACCGTATATCTGGATGGTTACGAATCGAATTTAATTAAATAATTTATTATTTGGACGAAACATATTGGATCGTGAATACCTCCAAAATTTCGGATATCCGATTCGTGCATACTCTTACATGTATGTGTATGTAAAGAAATATAAACGTGACTGATAGATATATAAAGATACCATAATTAACATTAAAATATTTTTTTTGTTCAAAATAACACATGAAATATAATATTTTATTAATACAAATTAAGTAAAAATAAAAGTTTAGATATTAGTGACTTTCTGTAAATTATCTTTTGAGTTATTCTTGGGTTCACCCCTTAGGGTGAACCTATAGGTTTACCATCCAATAGAATTTGATATTTGATATCTTGTTAATTTATATTATGTTTTTAAAATAAAAATACAAAAAACTAATTAATAAAAATGAAAATAATTTTTTTTAGAGAAAATATTTTAACACCAAACCTTAAACTCTAATCCTAAACCCTAAACCTCTGAGTAAATCATAAACCTTTGGATAACTTTTATAAAAAAATCTTTAAAAAAGATTATTTTAACATTAAACACTAAACCCTAAACTCTAATCCTAAACCCTAACCCTTGGATAAATCATAAACCCTAAACCCTAAACTCTAATCCTAAACCCTAAACCCTTGGATAAATCATAAACACTAACTTTTTAACACTATAAGATTTATCCAAAGATTTATGATTTACCCAAGGGTCCGGGGTTTAGAATTAGAATTTAGGGTTTAGTGTTAAAATATTTTCTTTAAAAATAATTATTTTTGTTTTTATTAATTATTTTTTTGTATTTTTATTTTTAAAAACATAATAGAACTTAATAAGATTTTGTTTTCTTTTTAAAAATATATCAAATATGAAATAATGCAATACTATTGGATGGTGAACCTCTAAGTTCACCATAAGGGGGTGAACCCAAGAATAAGTCTTATCTTTCTATGTAGAACTTTTTTATAACCCATAGAATTGTGAATTTTCTAATTCACCTTGTATAAATTTTTTTTATGTTTAAAAAAAACCTTAAAAATATAAAATACTATATAGTGTGAATGAATTTATGTAGAATTTGGTCGAAAAATTCTCTACACATGTCACGTCAGTGTATTCATTTTCAAATCGCTATAAAACTAACATGTGGCAAACGTAATGTGTACGCATTAAATGATAATATTTTTATTTTAATATCTAGGAGATTAGATTGTTTTGCATCACCCAAAACAGAATATGCTAACTTAACATCTACTCTGTATGTTAGTAGCTTACTTTAAATAGACTTAAGACATTCGTTGACAAACAAAAAAAGACTTGAGACATTAGTGGAACTTTTGCATATGGAAGCTAATCTTATGTAAGATTCTTATGTTAGAGTTTAGTCATTAACTTAGTAAGAGTTTTTTTTCATTATCCAAAGATAATTCCAGTATGTTATGAAGCCCATGCACTTATAAAATGTGGGGGTTTTTTTTCACTCTAAATTAAATTTTATACCCGACCCATTAAACTTAATAAATTCTATTCACATATATATATATATATATATATATATATATATATATATATATATTTATTATATATATTTACTCGGTCAGTTAGGCTTGTAAAAATTAGTTACTACAGTTACATCAACAACGACCAAACACACAATCTTACTTTCTATGCAAAATTTAATTCCTCGTGTTTTGAAACCCGACCTGAACATTAAACCGGACTATTTACGAATTATTAGGTTATTGAATCAACCGCGGATGAACCATAAGTTAATAAATAAGTTAATTTTATTATATAATATAATAGATAGTTTGTGTTTAAAAACATCTAAAATACTGAACTTTAGTTTATATATTTTTATTTTCATTTCTCAAAAATATCAAAAAATAGTTAGACTATTTAACAATTTTTGTAAAAATTAAGAGTTATAACATTTAATGAAAAAATATCAAGATTTAAAATCCACAAATATTTAAAGTCTAATATGAATAAGAAAATTAAACTTTAAATAAAAAATAAACCAAAAGTAAAACATCATTGTGATAAATGGTCAATATGAAAAATAAATTAACACCAAATTATATCAACTAATTTTGGTTTTCTCTACTATCGTTCATTTCATTTCTTTAGGTGACATAGTAAAATCTTCATCAAAATCTAAAAATTAAAACAAAATAGTATAATCGGCATTATATATGATATAAATCAGAAAGTTCAATCATTTTAAAAACAAAAACAAAAAGATAAGTAAAAGTTCTCTATTAATCACCCGATTTCAGGTTTTAATGGATTTTTGTGAGTTTTATTAGATTTTTGAATATTTGAATTTCCCAAAATCCAAACCAACCACGGGTCCTGTTGGGTTTCAGACACTGCTATCTCCCCATTTTTGTAAAAATAAACTTTGTGGAAGAGATGTTACTTTTTTTTTTTTTTTTTTTTTTTTTTTTTTTTTTTTTTACTTTGTGGAAGAGAAAATATAGAACCTGGTGGCGCCCAGACCAATGTTGTGGGGGAAAATAGTGGCACCGTAAAGGTTATTGTTGCCGTGGACGGCGTCTGTGCCGTAGATCATTGGGATTCCTAAACGCGACGCTAAAGCTAAACGCTGAACACCGTCTACCATCTCAGCCCAGTCCGACGACTTTGCATCCTCGAACGGCCAAGTCCCAGCTCCGCTCTGTACACTTCCTGTAGAACCAAAGTCACAAAAGATTATCACTAATAGATTAGTTTAAATAAAGAATAATGCACGATGATTTTCAAAAGTTTAGTTAATGTTATGTTGAAAGGTTTGTGGTTGTGTATACCGATAAAGTAATCTGTAAGGACACCATGAGTAGCGACGGAGCGTTCGATCTGAGTCATCTGACCGATCTTCTCCGGCAGAGTCATGCGAGACAGAAGGTCTTGCACACGCGCCTCCACGGGCGCGTTTGAGTTCTTGTATACGCATGACGAGTCCTCCGTCTCTGACATAGTCTTCTAAAAGTCTTTTCCTCAAAAGTCCAGCCACTCCCCTTGGCTTTAATAAGTTCTTCATAAACCATAACTAAGTTAAGATTTATTTCAGTGACAAAAAAAAAAGTTAGGATTTATTTAATAAATGAGTTTAACTCAAGTTTGATTTAGATGGCGAGTTATGTGAGCGAACATATTCATTAGTTTATTTTTGGATTTCAAAATTATGTGTATATATATATATTTATATATCTTTGTTCTTTTTACTTTTTGAACACCATCTTTGTTTTACTTTTAAACTTTATAAGATAAATATAAGTATTATAGGTATTCAAATTCTGAAATTTCTAAAAACAAAAGTAGTCATTCTTCTATTTAACAATTATCGAACACCCAGGGGTTGAATCAAAAATAATTTTAAAAAATCAAAAGTGAACTTTCCTATATAAACACTTATTAGATTACCGTCTCTCTCATAAATTCATAGATCTCAAAAAGTAAATTATTTATACTTTGGGACTATTTTTTATATAAAACTTTCAGATCATGTTATTAAAGTTAAGATATTTAAAATATGTTGTTTTATTGGTATAATTATTTTGTAATATCTCTAAATTAACTCATTTAACTTGTACCTAGATAATCTGAATTCAACTTTATATACTAAAATTTATATAATAAATGATTCAAACATAGATGTTTCATAAAAGATCGAATTTTTCATGAGCTGAATTAGCGTGAGTTAATTCATTTTGACATCCCTAATACAAACTTTTATTATGAAATCCATCCAAAAATATGTGGTTGTGGTCTTGGTTCACGCTCTACTTTATTCTCATGACATTCACTTTTAACCTTTTAGTCTCTTTTTCTTGGTTAACATTTGATATTTTTCAAATACTGGATAATTATTACAAATTTTACAAAAATTTTACAAATAGTGAACGATTTTTTTGGTCTCAGGGGAAATGGACTCAAGATTAAATCTTACCAATATTTGTATGATCCCAAAGACGGAAAGACCTACAAGAATGATGGAATTAAGACCAATAAAACTATGTAATGTCGGGTACAAGATTATTTCGTAAGTCTTGTGTCAAAGGTTGAAACTATGTCATTCTCGGCTTATTTCAGAGACTCAATCGGCTTTTATGGCAGGAAAGTTGATATCAGATAATATACTTTTTGCTCATGAGATGTTTCATGGATTGATAACTAATAAAACATGCCAGGGAAAGTATATGGCAATTAAAACGGACATGAGCAAAGCGTATGATAAGGTGACATGGGATTTTATTAAGGCCCTGTTGCACAAGATGGGTTTTGATTGCCATTGGATTAAGTTAATGATGGGGTGCATATCCTCGGTTCAGTATCAGGTGCTAATAAATAGTCAATCCCCAGGTCTTATAGTTCCACATAGAGATTCACGTCAAGGGGATCCGTTATCGCCTTATTTATTTATTATGGGCATTGAGACCTTGATTGCTAATATAAAGAAGGCTGAGAGAGGGAAACAACTTACTGGGATGAAGGTTGCAAGAGCTTGTCCATCTATATCTCATCTACTCTTTGCAGATGATAGTCTTTTATTTTGTAAGGCTCTGAAAGAAGAGTGCCAAGTCATCCTACAGATTTTAAAGGAATATGAGGTTGTTTCAGGTCAAAAAATAAAATTTCAAAAGTCCTCAATCCAATTCGGACATAAGATTGCGGAAACCAGCCAGCAGGAATTACGGGATATCCTGGGAATTCAGAATCTCCCCCCCCCCCCCCCTTGGGATCTTACCTGGGACTCCCAGGGAATATCGGAGGATCTAAGATACAAGTGTTTGGTTTCATTCAAGATAGTTTGAATAGCAGGGTTAATGGATAGACTTTCAATTTTTTTTACCAAAGGAGGGAAAGATATGATCATTAAATCAGTAGTAATGGTATTAGCGAATCATGTAATGTCATGCTATCGATTACCAAAAGCAACTGCAAAGAAACTAACAAGTGCGGTAACTCAGTTCTGGTGGAGCCCAGGTAGGAATACAAAAGGAATACGCTGCAAATCGTGGGATAAATTATGTTTAACATAAGGATGAAGGAGGTTTGGGTTTCAAAGACCTAACAGATCTTAATACGGCGATGCTTGGTAAACAGCTATGGCGATTGATTGAGAAACCCAATACCTTATTCGCAAAAGTTTTAAAGGTCGGTACTTCAGGAACGCTTCACCCCTAGATCCGATCAGATCACACTCCACGTCCTATGGCTGGAGGAGTATGGTTTCTGCTAGATCTCTGGTTAGCAAATGACTAATCAAAAAGGTGGGGACATGATCTTCTATCTCTGTATGGAATGATCTCTGCCTCCCAACCCCTCGCCCGAGACCAGCAAACAAAAACAACACACTAGTTACCCGGACCATACAGTTGATTCTATCATTGACTCAGTTTAAAGAACTTGGAATTCATAGGCAATCCGGGATTTAGTGGATCCTCAAGATATCAAAATTATTGAAAGCATACCACTGATTAGGATACAGATGGTGAAAAAGGATGGATGGCAATTCACAAGTAATGGAAAATACACGGTTAAATCAGTTTACCAAGTAGAAAGGGTTTATCTCGACATGGAACAACCACCAGTAGTGTTCGGACCCCTAGTGGATATTTTGAAATCGTTTTTCTGGAAAATATGATGCCCCCCAAAGATAAAGCATTTCCTATGGAAATTGGTATCGGGATGCATCGCAGTCAAGAATAATCTGCAAGCGAGACGAATACACGGAGATATATGTTGTGATAGATGCGGAGATCCAGAAGAATCAATAAACCATGTGTTTTTTGACTGTCCTCCGGCGTGCAAGGTTTGGGTTCTTTCACAGATACCTTAAAATCTAGCAATTTTCCCCTCCTAGTCTCTATTCAAAAACATGGACCATCTTATCTGGAGAGTGCAACCAAAAATGGAGGATCACCACTTTGTTTGGTATTTATGGTATATTTGGAAAGGAAGGAATAACAAGGTTTTTAGTAACTTAGATATTGATCCCATGGATACACTCAAATTGGCGGAAACTGAATCAACACTCTGGATGGAGGTAAAAGTTTTGAGAGCACATGGACCGGTACAACATGTGGACGTAGTTAATATACTGAAAATTCCAGGACGGTGGTGTTTCACAGACGGATTGTGGAAGGATAAAGATACTTTCTCAGGATAAGGATGGTAAAGCACTTTAGAAGGTTTTGATAGTTTGATGGGAGCAAGAAACACTCGAGCTAGTCTCTCACCCCTTCATTCTGAGGTTGAGGCTTTGATATGGGCGATGAAAGGTATGGGGAATTTACGTCGGTTTAGGGTTACATTTGCAACGGATTGTTCTCAATTGGTGAAGATGGTGTTGGAACCAGAAGAATAGCCCGGTTTTGCAAGTTATTTGGAAGATCCAAGACGTTTTTCTCAGCTCGGAGATCATTCATGTACCACAAACGCAGAACAAGAAGGTGGATAGCCTAGCACGAAGTGTCAGGAAACAATCGTCTTTTGCGTTCACTTGGATACAAAGCTGCCGTTATGGTTTACAGAGTCAGTTTGAGTCAGTTAAGTTTGATGACCAAAAAAAAATACTATAGACAATTTTCAACATTTCTACATATCTTAAGAATCGCGTCTGGCTATACCACCTCAGCCATCCTTTGAACTTCATGTTTGAATGTATTATTTATGCCATACTATAGATCTTTTGTAAATCTTTTCTCTACTAATTCACATATTTTTTCTATAAATCATAACTCATACCTCGTGGTGTATAGCATAATGAACCCTTACTTAGTTCAAACCACTGGACCAGACCGAGATGGTTTCCACAAACACTTGATAGTATTAATTGGAAACATGAAGGACACATATACAAACAATTACATTGACTAGAAAGCTAGAGATGTCAAATTGGGCTTCGGCCCACGGGTTAGACCCAAACAAGTCCGCTATGGAGTGGATTTGGACATAATATATTACTAGAGTTTGATCCACGCATCCACATTAGTTTAATTTATATCTTTTAATACAAAAATTAGTAACATTTTAAATATATATATGAATTATTTAGATATTTTTAGGTTTTTACAAACATATCAAGATCTGGAAGAATCTGACTCGAATCCTGTCAGGATTTATAATATCCAAAAACACTTAATTTTAGGATCCGAAAACCGAACTGTATCCGAACGTGTACATGAATGCCCTTGTTTAACTGATTATGTAAAAAACAAATTCTTTGTTAGCCGGTTTGAATCTTGTACTAATAGAACAATTTCATTTAAATATGTGAAATCATTATGGTTAACACGTAAAATAAATGATATCAGAATATAATGGTAAATACAATAATGAAATAGTTTGAAATTGTAAAAAAGGAATCTAAAATATATAATAAACACTTCAAATAAGTAAGATTTGATTTGTATTTTTAAAATAAATGCTATTAAATTATCTGGAAATAAACAATTAATAAAGTAGTTAAGATGAATGAATATAAGAAAAGAAAAGATGAAATATATATGTTAAAAGTAAAATTAGTTCTATTTTGTACTTCAATGTTAATAATATAGATGCCCAATTTAAAGCGGGTCTAGCCGGTTGGACCGGTGCGGCTTTCGGATTTCACAGATTGACTATAACGAGTTAGCGGGTTGAACTAAGTTATTTTTCCAAAAAACCGGTAATTACTTTATATCTTTGTACCTTTTTATTATAAGATTCATACACTTTGACACAAACTCTAGTCCATAAACCTAAACACTAAACTGTAAAGAACTCTTAAAATCAGTGTTTTGATGTCTAATCCGGACCTGTGGTCAAACTGGTAATTCAGTGACCCGGTAAGTGATCTAGTTTGGGTTTTAATAAATATCTGTTATTTAAAAATCTGATAAAACTACTAAAAAACTTTTAAACCTGATAACTGATAACCGGCTGAACCACCAGTTAAACTAACACTAGGTGTGGGTTGGGTACAAAAACACTGCTAAAAACTTTAAAACCCTACAAATTTATACAATTGAAC